CAAGATATGATTTATGTGATACCGAATGAAGCTTATAGTCCAGTGAACTAGTGCGGAAAAAAATCAACGATCCTATAATACAATCGCTGTCCTAGCAAAGAAAAACTCGATGGTTTTGAAAGAGTTCCATAAAGTTACTGCAAAAACATATGTCAAAAGTGTTTGGGGACACTTACGCAATGTTCCATTTAAATAGCTTACTACCTATCAAGTGAAAATCATGAGATGGAAGAATCACGTACGTTCAATGAATTCAGAAATTATTTGAACACTCTCCAACCCAATGCATACCTCATTCTTGGCCAACTGAATTATGTGGTTGATATTATCAAGCATAGCAACATGTGTTGCATTTATTGACAGAATTTTAGCTTGTGGAACGCCGATTTGTTGCAGTTCCCGACGAATCGAAGACATCTGCTCACGATACATTGTTCGATAAGCCTCCAATTCAGCAATGCGTGATACCATCGTGTTTTGGTCCTGCAAAACAAACCTGGTTCATTCGATGATAACGTAAGTGCTACGTTAAAAAGATCTATATCTGAAAGTGGTAATAGTGTACGTGATTTTTCGCGCAACGCTATAAGATTGACCTGACCTGTCACAGCGGTGAGAAAGAGGTCCAAGAGGGCGCCTTCGCCAAGAGAACTATTCTTACCTCCGATTTATTTCCCAGTGTTAGTGAAGAGAGAGAAGTGTTCCTCGAATGACTCTTTGTAGTGTTGCTGCTATAGTCTGAGTCACACTGGAATAAAATATTAGTCATCACCGGATTGCATTATCTCAACCAACAAAAGTGTGGTTTGTGGTTTTACCGGCTATTTCCCTCAATTTGATCAACAGTCTACCTCATTTCTTCGATTCTTTCACTTCGCTATAACCTAACGTTCCAATCAAATGTTAATGATCCACCAAATCTACCTCATGGGTGTTACGCACCAACAAGTAATTAACTACTTTACTGCGGGATAGTTATAGATGGTGTAGAAATCCACAAAAAGACAAATTATTCCAGACAGAGCAAAAGAACAACTTACAGAATCTTTAGTGAGAGCCTTTATCCAATAGTTGCGTGAGTGTGGGTTTTCCGCCCTCAAATACCATACAACGTCTCCAACCGATACAGAAAACTCGCATTCATTGAACTCGTGTAACTACAAAATCCGTAAATCAGAAACAATCCAACTTTCAAATGAATAGCTTCCCCTTAAAGAAGTATTATATGTCCTAAATTAGGCTGAACACAACACCACTAACACACATTATATGCAGTCAGAAGACTTCGATTCTAAGCAACGGGCTCATGCAAAATAATATCTTTCTATTCTAGGCAGAGAAGATGGGGTCACGCAATATAGAAATCAGAGAGAAATAGTAGTTTTTGAAGAACTGGAGAAAAAATACAGTTAAATTATGGAAAAGCTCTGCTGTGAACCCAACGATCAATTGAGTGGGGTAATAGGTGATTGTTCAGCCCAAAACCGAACCTGCGAAAGCAGCCGACCATTTTAGCGAATTTTTATTAAGCACGAAATAATAATAACCCAGAAGAGATATATTTTCACTGACAATGGTGGAAAATTTGGGCTGGAGAACATAATTTGCAAATGATACCGGCAGCGCCTTGCAAACATTTCGTAGAATGCTCACTCACATTAATTTCAAGCTTCTTCAAGGAAATGCTGCCACGACATCCGGATCCTTGGTCGGCTTTGCTGGCGTAATAGAGAAGTTGACCATGTTTTATCTCGAAGAACCGTTCTCGCCATCCATTGATATAATTAGTCCATTTCAACAAAGTGCCCGAAGATAGTAGCACTCTAAAATGGCGTATAACACTACAAACTATTGACAAAAACCAGAAGAAGCGCTCCTGAGCTGAGTTATGTGCTACTGAATTCTGTTATATAAGGTGAAGAAAAAAAAGAGCATAAATGCACAAGTAAAGGAAGATCATAACCGATAAAACCACTTACAGATCCTGTTCAGATGATCCCATACAGCGCAACTGCGAACGAAGTGGAGACTTGGCAGAAGCGGGGTGTGTAAACACTGAAACAGGTTGGTTTGACGAATCGACCCCAAAGCCGACACACAGTGGCACTTTGAACTAGCACGAATACCACCCGATCATCAATCGATAGGACAAAGAAGTGTGCAGCACCGGAGATTGAAAAATCGAAAGAATTATAGAAAAATTAAACGGTAACAAACATAAATAATGGTGCACTTCTCAGCCCCCATTAATTTTCCTACCAACAAAGGAAAATTTAGCACAAGAGCCTCATCCAGTAAGGGGGCATGTGGTGCGACAGTTCATATTGCATGAAGAAATCCACTTTTTTCAGGGGAGGGAAGCTCCGGGGTGGGTGTAAAAGTTAAGCGAAATGGTTCACGCACCCCGGGGATTCCCTCCCCTTGCAAAAATTGGAATTCTGTAGCCGACAAGAACTGTCACACTTTACTGGATGACACCCTAGCACAATACTAGGGTCTAGCAGTCCTTTGTAACAAGTGGGGACAGCACTTTCCCACTTCTTGATGTGGGTAATGGGTCATTCATATGTCTGTCGCGAATTTGAACCTGGTCGTTCACAGGCTCTCATCCAGGGTGAATAACGGTCGAGGAAATCCTCGACAGGGGGTCGTATTTGCTCCGATGAGAGTTGGGAGGGGGTCGTAATCAAAAGGTTCATCAACGGACACTAACGTG